AGCGAATGGGTGCAGAACGTTAGTATCTGTGATTCTCTTTGTTTTTTCTGGGTTGACCCAAGACTCTCACCTCTCTCCTGGAGTCTGAGCAGGACCGAGGACCCCGGCCTCTCCCTGGCTTGTGCTCCAGCCCGATGCGTGTAACGCTGTTTGTAATGAGAAATCTGAACGGGGAGCAGCAGCGAGGCATGACAGGAATGTGTTTCCATTGGAGGGAGCTCCATGCAAAAAAAAAAAAAAGAATAAGAAGAAACGTTGAAGCAGGGTTGTGTCCAGGAGGAGCGCTCACTTGGCTCCAAAGCGGAAGACTAATGTTATTGTACATTGGCTGTCACTCTGCCAGCCCCTCCCTCACCAATTGGTTGCTGGTCCCCTTACCAGTTTCTCCCCCGCCTCTCTTTCTCTCCCTCTGCTTCCCCGAGACTCTGTTTGCTCAGGTGGACAGCGACACAGTTCTCAATGAGCCACAGCCTCCCCACCCCCCCCCCCCCCACCCCCCAGCCCATATGAACGCATGTCTGCAGACTGTGTCATCGACTCACAAGCCCGGAGGGGCCTGCGGAGAGCTGGAAGTCCGAGCTCCAACCCGGGTTCGCTGTGGATGGGAGGGAGCACGAAATGGAGGGAGAAGCAATGCGAGGCGACTGGCGTTAAGAGGGAGAGAAAACACAAAGGCAGATAGAAGACGTGGTGGGAAAGGCGGTCAAGAACGATAGAAAACGAGTGAAAGAGAGATGTGGGGAAAAATACGACCACCCATTTTGAAAATTAGAAAGGGGTGGTGGTAGACTGCGGAGGCGTCTTAGTTTATAGTCCGTGGAGGACGTTTTGAAACAGCCCTGTTTAGAGTTTATTTTATCATGCCACGTCGTCTCAGACCCACTGTCAGGAATCTCATTCTGCAAAGACTAATTACATGTAAACACTACATTAAAGTCTGCAGGCCGCTCCACTATTTACTCTTTCTTCCTAACAATCCTGACAATCCTTCCACAGATTTCCTTTTTTTCCCATACAAACCTCCTCTGCTGGTGTTTATTTGTTTTAAAACTTGCATGCAATTCATGCTGGAGTAGATGGATGGATTTCAGCGAGAAGACGGAATAACATACCGTAGCTGGAAAGGCTGCAGAGTCAGTCCCACCTGCAAAATGCAACTACGTTTCCCTTCTGAGCATAACCAGGTTTTCCAGTAAAAAAAAGAAGACTTTCAAATACGAACGTTCAAGTTGCCATAACAGATAGAGCACATTATGTAACTGGTGAGCGTCACTGTCGAAGCGCTCCAACACGCTTTATAAATAAAGACAACGGGGATGTTCTGCGTCATTAGCACATGCACAGTGCTGAGGAGTGGTCACTCAGCGTCAGTCACCTGCATGGCCCAGCCAGAGATCGTAATTACTACCACATGGGAGCCAAAGGGCCGGAAGAGAATGCTTTTAAGGCGGCTAGAGAGTTATGGCCCCCCTCCAGATCTTTTAGCATATAAAATAAACAAGGGAACTGCTACTGCGTTCAAGTGGGTGCGCATGGGTCGCTGTTTGTGTCCTTTTACATTTTGTGTTTCCATGTTATGATAACGATAGCTGGAGATTACCTGACTCTACCTGCTGTCCCTGTTTGCTGATACAGGAAGTTAGTTACAACAGTGGGGGTGAAGAGGGGAAGTATCGACATATTATAGTCCTGTATGTATATCCTATGGAGGGGGCACAAAGAGGACTTTAAGTATCTAATGTCCACTCATTTGGGGACAGGAAGTCCTGTAGCAGTGCTATAATACTGACTTTTTATTTGTTAAATGTTTCTGGTTTAAATGGCAAATTAAAACTTTAGTGCAATAAGTGAAGTAAAATGAACAATATAGTCTCTTAAATGTAGAAGTAGAACTACAGAGTAGCATGATAAAAATACAGGAACACGTGTTTACATAATTGATGCAGCATATTCGCTCCGTAGTTGTCAGGATGTGATTTAAAAATATGGGAAGACTAGTGTTGTTGTGTGATTCTTACACTGACACCTGAGGAGTGTTGATATTCGGGCTCGGCCAGAAAACCCGGCAGCTGCCTGGGAGGCGTAATAGGTTGTCTTACAAAGCACAGACAGGAAATGAACCCTGGTATCAAGCTTGAATCAGCTACATCTGGTCTCAATTATTCATCCTGGTTTTTCTTGGCTGGTGATAAATGATTTAGTCGCACCGCTGACACCACTTCTCAAGTGCAAATATAACTCAATGAAAAAAGATGAGGAAACGAAAAGCCGTGTTTGTTTCTTAGACGAGGAGAATGTTGCAGTTATTCACCTGCAGCTGTGAAATATATTACTTGGGCTGATTGATCGGTACATAGTTGTATGTTGTATCATCGCACGGCCTTCTTGTCTCCTCGCTACATTTTCTCTAACAGTAACTGATTAGCAGTGTTCGTTTGACAAGCAATCCCCACAATGACTTCTGTCATTTCAAAAGCAAAGCAAACACGTTATTATCTTTATCTTGACAGAATGATCTGATGTTGAGGCAGATGTGGGTATTTCGTTGCCCTCGCACGCAGGGGGGAGAAGAGTGAAAACATTCGAATGTCTCCACAGTCCAAATCAAACACTGCCATTTCTTTTTCACCACAGGAGGAGGTTTAATAGCTCCTTGGAGGTTATGAACTGTTGACAGTTAATAAGTCATAAAATTTCCCCTTGAAGAGGATGCTAGATTCCATCTGCAGGCACCCAGTACAAAGAGCCGGAAAGTAAATATCTCGCACTGGAAGTGGACTGGAATCTCTCAATGGCTACTCACGAAGAGTCTCTAGAGCATGTCCCTCAATGTTTCCTGATTCCTAGAGGCATGGAGGAATGAGCACATTACTGAGTAATTTTCCCTTAAAGTACACTGACTTTTTCAAATTATTGAGGAAAACGGGGCCTTGAATGCAGCATTTTGCAGGCAACTGACCCTCCGTGATTACACCTCATATTATTGTACTTGTCATCTATTTTCTTTGGCCCTTGGGATGTTTGCCATGGTAACAGCACACAGCGGGCCGTCTGGGTTGACCCATGCTGTCCTTTGCATTTCCCAGCTTGGCTGTGATGAAGGGAAGTCTCTGCCCACGATCCCTAACCCCTGATGAGGAAGGTTCTCAATTTCAGCTCCAGGTCCTGCATGGGCCTCATATCCTTCTCTACTCCTTCGCCAGCACCGTTTCCAACCCCCCATTCACAAAGGGCATGCCTTCCTTGAATAAGAAGGGTTTTTCTACAGCCAAGCTGTAGTCCACTAGATTACCTAAACTGTCCCCTCTGTCCTCTCAACGAGGACAAGTGCTGGTCAAGATTCAAAGAACGTGTTCAATATTTTAGGAAATATGGTTCTTTGCTTCCTACAGCCAGTTAGATGAGACAATCTCTCTCTTTTTTTAATGGTCAATAGCCTGCTACAGGCGGCTAGTTAGATTAGCTTAGCATAAAGACTGGAATGACAATGAATTGATTTCCTAAAATGTCCCAATAGTATTGGCATGAATACCTGACATCATCTCTTATGCAAAGTTCTTTCAGGTAACGACTGCTGCTGTTACAGCTGCACATGCTGCTTTGACAGGTGTCTGTGCCACGTGCTGTGACAGCGGACTCAACAAGCCCGCAGCACTGAAGCAACCGTGCACCACGTTGCTGATGAAGTACCGATCGGAAGGCAAAAAATAACAGGAATGCTCATAAAAGCTTCACCCGCAAACAAAACTAACAATGTTCTCGGTCCGACTCCTCCCAAAAGCTTGGACATCCTTTTCCAGGGATAGACTGGAGAAGAAACATTGTGTTTTTTTTGTGTCCCGTGGGGTTGAAAGAAGAAAATCTGTTTACAAAAGCATGAAAATATTTTATCACTAGCAGCAAGGGCAGGAGTGTTTTAATGACCTGATCCACAGGCCTCTGGCTGGCTGCAGGCTTTCTCTAACTGCAAAGAGCCCACTAGTGTGCCTGCCAACCCTTGGGGCAGCATTGAGATGAAACAGATAAGATGATTGTCTTTAATGAAATCCAGATCCCTGGGTCTGTCTGGACGAGGACTAGCTGGACCCTTTACTCCCCTTTTTCTCCTTTTCCTCCTTTTTTTTGGGAAGGTGGTGTTCCATATTGATCTTGAATTTGAAGGGAGACCGTGGAAGTTGCTCTCTAATTCAAACCAGAGCTCCTGTACGAGCCCTGGTGGAGCTTTGATACCGTTTGAAGTTCTGCAAGCGAACACGGCTCCGTCATCCTGCTGAACCCTGTTGTCATGAAAACCTTAATTATCTTCCTTTACTGCCTGTTTTTTTACACAGGAAGGCAACCATTATGTTCTTTGGGCATTTGCATCTCTCTGGGGCAAGTGTTAAAGGTCATGGACGTGAACCAAAATACCACATAACGTGAATTGAGGAGACTTGTGCGTGTTCGAGAGAAGGTGACTCATTGCAACACAAGCAATACTTTGGAAGGCATTTCTTTTGTTAAACGTTTCTTAAATGACTTAGAGACATTTTCCCACTTTCTGCACTATTTCTACAAGGTTACAGTAAAGAACGTCTGTGTAGGGCATTGTACTTTTTTTTTAAAAGCACAGGAAATGGCATGCGTTGTGAAATAATGAGCCACTCTCTTGTTTCGGAGAATTGATTCATTAACTATTTGAGTTTGCTCCAAGAAAAAAAAACAGTCAAATGAAAATACATTATTCGTTTTTATAATGTGATAATACACTTGTAATACAAAGTAAACACGGCACTGTTTTTCCTGATGGGTTTCCAGTTGTTTTCAGACAAAGTCTGTGGAAAGTTAATGTGCCACATGTATTTCTTTGCTCTTGGCTAATGTACACTGTTACCAGACTATTTGTACAAAAATAGCAGAGCATGGGCCAGAATAAAGTGCTTCTTTTCACGCTGTGCATTTTGTCCATTTATTTCAAAAAAGGGAGTTGTGATCCAATGCATCAAACTACTCAAATGATACACAAGAGATTAAAGCTTTATTTCCTGTTTTATTTACTTAAGATGAATACATTTCCAGAGCTGAAATCATGCAAAGATGGTTTTTTTTACAATCATTCATCAGGGGATGTTGCAGGTAAAAGTTGATTTTACTAAGAAGAACCAAACATATTCAGTTAGTCTTCCCTTGATATTATTATAATTATTCCTCATATTCTAAAATGATAGACAGTTAGCATTGAAGGTTTGGTGGAAGAGTGTTTCAGTGACTAACTCGGGTCCTGCTGCTCAGGAATCCATTTACTGTTTCAAACATTTCTTTAATCGCATTTTAGTCTTTTACTAAAGTTTGACAGATTTTGATGCAATTGTGAAAACAAAAGTTCAAGGCATGTTGTGTATAAATGGCAGGTAATACAAATGAAAAGAGATTGAAAGCCAAGTCAGTTATCACCCGGATCTTATCAGACTGACCAGTGTGGCTTGAATGGAGGGCCTTAAGTGGAGAGAGCGGCGAATCAAAGAGGGAGCCAGAGGTTGACCAAACACTGCTCTCCCACTGCCCTCGTGAAAAAATATCTGCCAAACACTCGCAGTCTTCTTTGAACTTGATTGAGCACTGAGGTCACAAACAGCCGGTGTTCTGTTATGCAGGACAAAGCCAGCAGCCTGATGACATGGAGATGGAGGAGAGAAGATGAGGTTTATGTTGACTTACACTGAGATTATTACTTTTCAAAGGGCCCCCCACTGACATTGTTATAATGTATAACTATTAATACGCTATTAAACTGGAAGATTTTACTTTTATGCATGGGAGAAAATAAATAACATGTAAATATGAGCGATGGTTAGATTTACATTTTTACACCAATTCAGTCATAACACATGACAAAACGACATTAATGACTAATTAATGCATCAGAATGTCATATACGTTGTTTGTGAAATCTAAGAAATTCGATAATTAACATGAAAAATGATTATTTTCTCAACTAAACAAACCACAAGACTGATTTTATATATCACAAAAACAACCAAATCGGTTACTCATGTGATTACTGTTGTTGTTGTGGTCGTTGTCTTTATCATCTGACCAGCTGGCTGGACTGAGGGATCCGTGTGAAGAGTCCTGTTGAGATGTGAGGAAGCGCACGATGAGTCATAATTTGAATAAAACGTTCACGCTACAAAGGTCACGGTACGTCACAGCTGGTTGTACACAATGCGTTCACCCATAGACTCTATAAGCAGTTCAATCACATAGTTTTGCTTTGGCAGTTCTATTAGTCAGTTTGTCGGTGCTCTCCTTGTTCGGTTATAAAATGCCGCTAAAGAAAAACAGTCCATTAATTAGGTTTAAGTTTTGGCTCAGGATCTCCTTGACGACCCTCAACAGGGTTTTATGTATTTATGTTACTGTTCTGTGCATTTTTGTTGTTTTATGCATTACATTACATCCTCCATCATCAGCATCCACACATTTTGAAGTTGTTGAGCAAAGTCCTTTTTTATCATTATTTTTTTGCAAACATTGTCAATTAAACTCTCACTGGATTTACAGATACGCCAAGAATCCACTAAATTGGATGAGAGTAAAGTACTTGAGATGGTTCACGGTGAACAAGGAGATCATGGTAGCTCTAGGTAACAATCCATCCATTATCAGTGCGACGTTAAAGCCCCGGTATTCAGTGTTGGTGCGACTGGTGGGCCAGCAGGTTAATGAAGCCAATGGGATTAATACCCGGGGAGTGGTGGAGGACCCTCAGGGACGGGAGCTGGGACGCTGCATCATTAGAGCCCTATTAGCCCCCAGGCAGTACACCCAATGCCTCAATAAGGGACAAATTGTTCTCTGCCTTTATTCACATCCAGGAAGACATTACTTTAGACCAGTTCAGATTTTTTTTTTTTAACTTTTTCATTACATTTTGGGGGGTTTCAGGGAACAGTGCTGTATTTCTAACTATATAAAAGCATATTTCCAAGTATATTCAACTTTTCACAGTGTGTTGGCTGATTACCTCGGGGAGCTTTAGTAAATGTGTGGTTTGCTCTCCATAATGACCAAAAAGCTCGTCAAACAGTTTACATTCTATAGTGAGGTATTCTTTTTTCTCCCTCCCCTGCAAAAAAAAAAATAATCCTTTGTATTTCATGCTGAAACTGGCTCTGCAGTTATATACTCCATCTTGATTGAACATAAACAGGAATGTTTGAAATCACTGCATTGGACTGCGACTGCCCTCCACTCCATCTGTATGTTTATACTTCCTGTGAGAGGCCCTCTGTTTATGAACAACTAAAGAACACAAACAACCGTTCCCCTCACAGGGAAATTCTGCTTTTATTATCTGCAAAGTTTTGCAATGCCTTTGTGTACGCTCCCGCTGCCTTCTGATTGCCTGTTTATTATTCCTGCGTTTCCGCTCAGCCAATTCCAAAAGGTGCCAAGTCTATTCCGACCTCTTCTTGCCTGTGACATCATTGTGCGCTGCCCTCAAACACACACATATCCGTGTCTTGTCTGCAGCCTGGGTGGCACGCATCACGCGCTGCAAAGGCTTAAACACAGCGTACACGTCTCTGGTCCTGCATACGATCACGTTGCATAACCTCAATCATGCCTTCATTCTTCATGACCTGCTCCTTTGACTGTGATGAAACGCTGACCTGTTATGGCTTCACATTTTCAGGTGAAATCTGTAATTTGCCAAGTTAAACATTGTGTGCGCCCACAAGCCTTCAAAAAGACTCAAACAAGCAACTGTTTAAAATGTTCTCAAAAAGCCACAGACATGCAATTCCTCCTCTAGTGTCAACTTTTATTTATTTACATAATTTCAAGACATAACGTGTCAATGTTGTCACTTTGATACAGATTATTTACATTAAGGACCGTACAACCTTTCAGTTCAATAATGTGGTTTTATATCATCTCAGAAATCTCTGAAAATGTTTAAATGTTTATCTTTTAGAAAGGAGACCTTTCATTGAGCCCTGAGGTTTCCATACATTGCTAAATACAAAACCGTATGATCAAGAACTGTTTTGTCTGTCTTTTTAGTAATCTAAATCGGACAAAGGGCTTTTTAAAGTTAATGTCTCTTTGTCTTGGGTTTTAATCTGGATAAAAAAAGTGCAGCGCAGGTTTTTAAATGTACTTTGGCATTGAGTATCCTCACTTCTCGATTCCAGGTCCGAGATTGAACTGATTTGTATGTTTTATTTTATTGGGAAAATACTTTTCAATGTTAGATTTCCCACTTGTTTCCAAAGTAATTGGATTTGTTAGTCGACAACACTAAGGAACCAGCAGTTGATTATTAAGAAAGTGATCTGTGACTCCAGTGGACATAGTCTGAGTTCATAATGAGAAAAAAAACAAAGCCGTCTGTGAAACTTTCTGAACTCTTCAATTCTGTTGAAACTTTTATTACCAAATAATCTTCATTTAATTGCAGAAATATGAGTTCCAAAGCAGGACCGGTATGTTTGGTACCGATGCATTTTATGAGCTTCCAATCTCCAGAAACACACCTGTGCCTGCGCATGAAATGTAATAAAAAGCATCCACGGAATCCAATAATTGGCAGTGAAACAGACTCCTGTTGCACAGATCTGGTGTCCAAGAAACTAGTTTTAAATCTAACAAAAAAGGTTAATTTTCATTATCTTCCTTCTACAGCTATCAGATGAGAGGAGAGTGGAAACTTCTCATATTTTATTCATTGACACACTCATCTTGTGACGCTGTCATGTGAAAAGTTGTGCAGCTGCTTTCAGTTGCTGGTTCTGCAAGAGGTCTTTGGACCGTTAACAGGTACTTCCGTCTGCTCAGATATTTTATCTTCATATTTCCAACAAAATTGTTCCTAGATACATTTCTTGCAATCTTGTTTGCTTCCACTTTTTGCTCTCAAACAACAGAATTTCCTGATCCAAAAATTTGTATTTTCAAATTCATCTTTTATGGTGACACAATAAAGCTTCTCTCAGCATCACTCCTTTCCATTTTGTGCTTTCCTTCTGAATAGACCTCTTAACAAAGAGCCGCATTCTGTTGATGTATTCAACAATCAGCAGACTTTATGCAGAAGGTAAATACGTTTGTGTTTAGCCTCTCTTGTGTTTCCCTCAACAGTACAATCCCTCACGTTGATCTAATCTCCGCAGTAGCTTCTTCTGGCTTTCTTTGAAAAGTTTTTGTCAGAGGTGAGTCTCAAACTGAGTGTGGGCCTGAAAAAAGGTTTGACTAACAAAAATCTGCAATTCCTCCTAAAATTGTGGAAATGGGCATAAAGTCTGCACATGTTGAGCTCAGAAATAAACATTTCCATGCAGCAACACATGTTAAGTTATCTTCGGTTTATGCTGTGCATTGTTATATAATTGTTATATAAATTATTCTACCAGTCTCCAACATTTGATGTGTGCTGCACTTAAAAATACTTAAAAAGTACAATGTAATGAAATAAAGTTGTTTTTAGACGGAAAAGAAAACAACAAATAATAATAAATGGAAACAAAATATTTAATAATGTAATTTCTGAATGCCCTGTTATACCACCTATCGTCAATGAACTGCGATATTTGGTTACTACCTGAGAACTTTTTAGATGAAAAGAAATCCCGAAATAATACAGAAATATAATGTAATAATGTAAAATGCTTTAAAAGTGATAATTATAAGGATAATAACAATAATCACGGTCTAGGTTGTTTAATGACTTTTGATTTAAATATCTATTGATTTCATATCAAAGTAACAGATTAATTTTTCTAAGATGCACAGAGATGGAAAGAGAAGATATCTCGAACATAATAATTCATTTGAACATATATGCTTCTCAGATAATAAAGAAATAGTGAAGATGGTAAATTGTAACGTAATGTGATGGTCAATCTATTTATTATGATTTAAGTTATCATGACACAACGGTTCTAGGCTTGGTCAAGGGTTTATGTGTCACGCATGTATTTTTCTCTCCCATAAATTGGATGATAAATTCTCGGCCATTTACTCTCTCTGCCCTCTCTCTCCCTCCCCCCCAAACACGTACACACACACACACACACACACACACACACACACACACACACACACACACACACACACACACACACACACACACACCAACGCAACCACATAGTCTCAGTCTTCAAAGAAGCCTGAGACTTTGACGGCAGCAGGCCCGTTAGTTTTTGGAAGCTTTGAAAAAACATCCCGATCTTCACTTATTTCCAGCAAAAATAAACAGCGAGTCAACATCGCACATAATCTCAAATCGGTTTGAGATCATGTTTTTCCTCCAGCCTACCTTTTGTGTCTCCGCTCGATCGGCCAGCTCCCCGGCGACCCCCGCCGTTAGCACCTTTTATTAATCCTTTCTCATCGAACCTATAACCGAATATCGGACTCGCGGTTGGTGTCGGTGTAAAGGAAAAAAGCTCCTCTCTCTCTCTCTCTCTCTCTCTCTCTCTCTGCAGAGCAATGCGCGGCACGGCCACTCTCTGCACAGTCTGAACATCTGCTCGTTTCACGTGACTTTTTTTTAAAAATACTAACATCTGTTCTAAATAGGTTTCATTCTGTGCCTCTGCATCGTGTCAATTGCCAACTCCTCTCTGCTGAATAAGGGAGAAGGGAAAAAGTATTTAACCTGTTGCATAAGAGCTGGACATTTCAAAAGGTTTAAACGTTTAAACAATATTATACTTCATTATAAACTCTTGCTGTATATAGTGTAAACTAAACTGCATCAAGATGTAAGAGCGGATTATTGATCTGGGCTGCCCGAAGCATTTCAGCGGGAATAGCCTGTATGTACAAACCTACACAGCCTTTTACCTCCCCGGCCTCCTTAAATTTCATAGACATCTGGGAATTCCGTACATGCCTCGCAAGCCAATTACACACCTTCAAACGGGCGCACACTTTGATTTGGACAGTGAGAGACACTTTCCCAGATCCCTGAGATCAATCACTGCAGCAGCCTACCATTTATTTAGTAACAAATATTTTCATTATTATGTTAAAAATCTAAAGAAGCTATTATCATTTACAACTATGATGTTTCATTTAAATTTTTGTCATCGTTATGCTGCAAGAGAACGAGGGAGTTGTCATTGTTTCAACTGTTGACATGTCCAGCTGCGGGCAGAAGAGAGGCTGCAGTCCAACAGCAGGTTGACATGACCCCAGTGTAACTTATTTACTTATAATGGTGAGTCCTAGGTCCTTAATCCAACTGTAAACAAATCCAGGAAAATGGGAGAAACTGGAGACTGCAAGAGGCTTTCACGTTTTTAATTAAAATAGAATTATAACCTCGTTTTCACAGACTTACTTTGTTTCTTTTTTTTTACACCGGATTTTTTCCCGATACTTATTCCCTCACGATTAAATACTCTTTTTGAAAGTGTGTCATACGTTCCCTTGAGCTGTGTAACAATATATTTCAAAAACCGCTGCATATTTCTCCGGCGCTTTCACTCGAGCCAAAAATAACTCCATCTGTTTTCCCAAGTGACTGGCGATATAGTGGAAGCTTTTGTCATTAAACCTGATGTGAACTACAGGCCACGGTACGCATGCATGCAAGTTGCTTCATCTAATCTCTAATTAACGTCGCCCGCCAACTTCCTCTTGAACAATTAAACTATAGCTCGGCAAAAAGAGTCAAAGCAAAACACTTAAATCGTCGTTTTCTTTAATGCAAAACATATACAAACATTTACAAAAACACAATAGTAAAAAATAGGAATGCATTTTGTATTTCAGACACAAGATCTATTCCTCAATGTATCACGTTTCACCAATAAATAAATTAATGTATTCCGAAAATGTTTTTATCTCACAGGTTAGATCCACACAGTCTACAAATGTGAAAAGGTACAACGACTGCTTTGATGATGCACTTTGACCTCCACGGAAATACCTCCTAAAACATGCATTTTAAAATGCCCCTTTCCTTCAGAATAACCACATGATATGTTCATCGTTCGTCGTCAACAACATAAAAACGCATCAGAATGGGAGTGTAATAACGCAAGTCCCATTTTGGGCCTCTGCAAAAAAAAAGGTCCCCCAAGACTTCTGCCGCTTTTGGTTCATTAAATACAGGGATCCGATGTATCCAGCATTGGACTCCAGATTGTCCCGTCAGAATGTGAGAAGTAGAATCAGCAGTCACCTGTGGGTTAGACGAGGCATTCGTTAGTACGAAGAAGTGGCTCGCGGTGACCACAACACACTTCGCATTAGACCACGACACGTGCCATTAAATAACACGTTCTGGCGGGATAACCCCCCCCCCCCCCCCACCCCCACCCGGACGGTCTAAGGCCGGGGGCCGTGCTTTTATTTTTTAACTGAAAAAAAAAAAATCACGCGTACCATTTACGGCACCATTTCTCCAGATGTTAGTGAGACGTTGACATGGACCAAGCGCCCTCCATCCTCCACACGGAGAAGGCGTAGCTCAGCCTCTCGTGCGCCACATAGCTGCAGCTGGACATCTTGGAGTCCAGCTCGTCGCTCTGCAGCACCTGGTACAGGAAGTCGATGTATCTGGCCGCGAGCTTAAGAGTCTGTATCTTGCTGAGTTTGTCCGAGGGCAAAGTGGGAATAATCTTCCGCAGAGACGTGAACGCCTCGTTGAGGGACTGCGTCCGCTGGCGCTCGCGCACGTTGGCCATGACCCGCTGCGACTGGAGATCCTCGAACGACTGGGGGCTGCTGCTGCTGGACTTCTTCCCTCTTTTCCCAGGGGTCGGGCTATCTGAGTCCTCCCCGTTTCTCCTGCTCGGTCTCTTCTTTCTCCCACACCTCTTCGGCTGTCTGTCCAACTCCCCCTCGCTGTTGCTCAGGCTGTCCGCAGGAGAGACAGGGGAGCTGCTCGACTCTTCCCCCAGGTTTTCCTCAGACATCTCCGCTCGGGCAAGACGGCGGCTAGAAAGTGTCCCGAAACGGATTCCCCTCTCATGAAGTCACGGAACCGGTCCACCTGTACGTCTGTCTGGCTCTGACGACACCAAAGTATCCATAGATGGGTTCCTGGGAGGACAAGTCTTCTCTGGTACTTGAGAAACTTTAGGCAGTTCTTATAGGCTGCGCGGTGTAAACTTTTTTTGGGGGGAGGGACACGATTGGCCAAGAGGATGAATTACGCGGGGCGAGGGGCGGGAGCATCCGCAGAGCTATCAGAAGCGCTGTCAAGAGTTAGAAAAGACTGCTGAGTGACGCCTTTTTCCACATCACCAGTACAAAAACTATAACATTAATCATGACTCCAATGTAATTTCTATCAGATCTTTCCATATCAACTTCACATAAGCGTTGTAAATTGTCTCTTTGTGCGCGTGTGCTATTAAGGGGCCTCTGGAAAGAAATCTGGCCAATTCTAAATTAAATCACAAATTATATCACATTTGTTTTGTGCTTCAAAGTACCAGCAATGTTTATGTTTTATCCCTTCGTTTATCAATCCTACTTAAATACCCGAAGTCCCGTCACGTGACTGCCGCAATATAAATGTCATAATCTCCAGTCATTTCACGAGCTGAAAAGTTTTCTTTTTAGGGCATTGTGGAACCATTTCTGTGCAGGCCAAACCCAGATTTGGTATTTGTTTGTTTGTTGTTTGTAAGTGAGATTAAAATGCTTTTATTGACATGCAACATACGATCCTAATCTAACATTTTTGACTTGCAGCCAGTGCTGTAGATTTTTAAACTTTTCCTTAGAGGGCTTCTGCATGCTCAAATTATACCCCCCACAAGAGGGCATGCTTCTTGTGTACTGTAATAACTATGAAATATGCAGAAAACTTGCATGCATATGTTTATGTTTCTTTGTTCATCAATAAAATAATACAGCTAGAGATTATTCCCTGTCGGTTTAGTCAAAGACGAGGAAAGAGCAGCTCTGTGTCCGAGGCCCGGTGGTATTTACTAGGATGGTGAAACAATATCCATCTTGTTTAGTGGAGGATTACTTTGTTTAGGTTAAGATGGCTGTGGTCCACAGGAGCAGCATCTGGTTCAGGAAACTGGGGGGCAGTCAGGTTCAAAGGTCACAACACCAGCTAACATCTATTTACATCCTCGGACAGGCTTAAGAGTGAAGTATTGTTCCAGGTGAACTGTGGGCTTTTTTAAGTGTAACATTTTAGGCAAAGAAAATGTCCCAATTGTTTCATTTTCTGGCTCCAAAATCCACATTCATTTCAATATGCCTCAAGGTAAAGGTGGAATTTCATATCTCAGAGTTAGTCATTTATCTGTACGCATTAACGCATTAAAAGGAGCAGCTGCGGCCTCTTCAAGGTGAGTGGACCTGTTTGCTGGCGCTGTCCATGGTGCTGATCTCAGTCCCCGCTCTACCTGCTGCACCTCACAGGTAAGCAGGTGGAGCTTGACCACCTCGTCTGGATCCGTTTGCCGTATCTAGTTTCACATCACAACATTTATATAATCAACCCCCAGCGTCACGCGGCCTGCATGTCTGTTGTTTCCTTTATTCTTGTTATTTTTGTTGTTTCTTTCTTCTTGAAGGATATTTTTGATACAGAAGATTAAAAAAAAGCTGGTCAACAGTAAGAAGCTCTTTGCTATTAGGGAACACCATCATTCCTTAACTTTTAAATGACGATAAAGCAAAAACTAGCATGAACTCCCACATATACATGTCTTGCAGATTGCAGATTGCTCTGCAGAGTTCAGCTCTTTGCTGCTGAAGTGACTCTGAGAAAACACAGCTGCTTCTCGGGAATATGATGTCATCACAGGACAACTCCTCCAGTGTTGATCTTTAATAAAGACGACATTTTCATCAGTCAGTCACAGACTGTCAGTACCTAACAATTACCAGCACACAAAGAGGAGATAAACAGCGCTGATTGTTTTTCAGGTGTGATTCCCCGTACGTTGCTGCCTGCTCGGCCTGCAGCTGTGGGCTAATAATTGATGGAGGCTTTGTCGTTTCCAAAGCGCACTGAGTGGGTGTTATGATAAAGTCAAGTGTATCTTTCTGACTCATGCAACTTGACACACCATTCATGAGTGACCCCAGAGCGTTGTTAACCGCCCGTCCCCGAGGTCACATCAAGGCAGACACAACTCAGGCTCTCACCCACTGAGTCCTGAGCCCCGGCCAGATCCACAGAGACCTGTCTATCTTCTCTGCTCGGGCCTTCGGAAGGCGGCGTTTCTCTATCGGCCTACTTATATCTACTGAAACAACAAACCGCAGTCCTCCACATGGACGAGGCTCCCACAGTCGACCGTTCACTCCATTAAACTTAACCGCGATGCGTGCGATGCCGGCTCGCCAAGATGGATCAACTGCACGGGATGAGAAAAGACAGGGGTGTGTTCTTCAAAGAGCAAGTCCCCAGATAGCCTCTAATCAACCCTCAGGACTGACAAGGTCAAACGGCAGAGTAGAATGACAGCATGCCTCCTCAGCAAATGTCTCAAAATGTTCCGTGGCGCAGATAAATCATTTCAGGGGATTTCTGATAACAGCAGTCCAGCGGTGCGGGATTGAGAGAATCTGGGGTGTTGAATCAGGGGGTGAGGATGAAAACAAGCCTTTATAAGCCGTCTGGACACAGAGGAGCCAGGACTCCTGAAGTTAGCTGTAAAAGAAAGCCTTTGAAAGCAGAGCGCTTTGATGTCGCAGGTTGTAATCACAGTTCGAGTCCTATATTCCTGTAACAGAGCACAGGTTCAACATGGCAGAGGGAACCGAGCTCGTCCATCCCTTTAAAACTATCTCATAAATTGGATTGATTTTTGTGGAGCGAAAAGCCCGTGAAGAGCTGCAAATGTCTGTATGAACGAGTGTGGGTGTGATAGATGTTCAATCTATTCACGTCGTGCTAATGACTCTGTGGGATATCAGACAGCTCTACCGCACAGTGACACCTTATTAGCCGCGAAGAACCGAAAAAACTTCCAGTATGTTTTCACAGCTTGGAGGCTGAGGGAGATGAGGGGTCCGTGGACAAACTGGCATCCAAGCAGCAACATCACTGTCATAGATTTACACACAAACACACACACACACACATACACACACACACACACACACGCGCACACACAAAACCAACAAAACCTTCCTCAAAGGGTTTGCAGTGTATCACTAGTCTAACCTTACTCACAAAACAACAACAACAACAGTGTATAAAGTAAAGCAAAAGCATGCAGAGTCCTCAAATTCTTGTATTTAACCCACATAACCTCACTTCCTGTTATTGAAGGTGAACGTCTGGACAGATATTTTGGGACCTGGACGTTGCTAAAACATCATTCTTGAGACCATTGAGGCATTCCTTCTGTAAAGCTCACCGCTGCCCAGCAGACCACACACACACACACAGACACACACACACACAAACACACACACACACACACACACACACACACACACACACACACACACACACACACACACACACACACACACACACACACACACACACAGACACACATATTCAGCATCGAGACCAGCGCACTGACCCATGCAGTGAAAATTTACATTCACAGAGTTACAGGTGCTGCTGTAAGTCCAGAGATGTGTGCTCATAAGGGAATGTGATAAATATATCACTGTTACGTGGGGAAGAACATCAACCTTTTGATCAAGAAACAAACAAATAGTTTTATGTAAATTAGACTAAACCAAGTTCTAGTACAAGTATAGAGAAGAAGTCTACATACTAAAAGGAATGTCAGATAGGAGGAAACCGAACTGTATGTGGCTGCATGTCAGTGCACACTGAACTAGCAGTCAACAGTTTTCAAAGGTCATTTCAACCAAATCAAACACTAGTCGGATTAATACAGATTGCTTCGGTCTGTATTTGTATCAGATACAAGTTGTATCTGCTTTTTTGTGATATGTCGGCAGCCAATTACTATGCAGTTTTGTTTTTCATGCTCAAAAGATGTGGACGTGAAGGCACTCAAATAAAAGATGATGTTCAGGTTTTTAACCTCATACACTCTAACCATCAGATCAAATGTGGATGGAGAGAGAGCACATATTACAGTTACTTTCCCAACTGCATTATATGTATTAATAATAGTATAAAAGTCGTGATATTAAAGCCTCCATCACATACTCAACACAATATAAACATTGACACTAAATAAAAACCGCAGACGCTTGGGGATATTTTTAACGCTTTCCTTCTTACAGAACTTCTACAGTGAACAATGGCATGCGTGGAATAGAGAGCACATCCAAAAGCGCTGTGCAGGTGCATGTCGGCAATCACAAAAACAAGAAAAAATGAATTATTCTCGAGCAGCGCTACCGGGTTCCTCTGAGCCACTTCTTCTTTTATTGTCTCATCTATTGAACATAACTGACGAGGTGATTTGGCGAAGGCCGCCTGGTTGGAATGTCATCAATCATCCTCCCAATGTGAAATTATGAAAAAAAGAACCCTGGCGGAGCACGCCGTGTCGTATAGACGTATATAAGTGATGAGCCTAATGTCACTAGTTGCAGTGTGGTTCTTCCCTCTAAACGCGAGTCCCACCGCAGCCCCTGTTAATAAAGACTCTGGGAGGAGAGAGGAGGTCAAACAGAGTGCTCCAGCTGCACATGGGGATGAATAGCAAAGAGGAGGGGTGGGGGGGGCAGAGGTGTGGGGGCGAGGACCTGGGGAGTAATCATGACAAAGGAGGGTCTCCCATCTTTTGACCCCCCTCCAAAATACAGAGCAAGAGTGTGGAGGATCACACCTGTTGCTTATCAAATAGATGAATGCGTGGTTTGATAGATAAATACATAAATCCAGAGATAGATAGATCAATTGTTATATATGTTATTCTGCCATTCCGGATTTGACCCATTAAGCATGCACAATGACACATACACATACGAAGACTCCAACAAGGCAATACATTCTATATCGTGGTAGTATCGGCTCTGGTTCTCCGCTGCAGTGCAGCTGTGTTCCCATCTCCCCCAGATTTCTGCTCACCTCTGCTCCTCCCCGAGTGTCAGTTAGAGGCGACCTCCTCCTTCAGTCAGACCAATCTGTCAGGACTCAATGGGCTACCTCTCCAGCCTTTGTT